TTTTTTTTTTTATATATATATATCCGCAAAAATGATCGTCAATCAGTTCCTTTGTTTTTACATCTTTATAAGATGTAATATTTTTCGTTGTTGTTAATATTATATATAAATATATATATATATATACATATATGTGCATATATATTTGTGTATATATATGTGTGTGCGTGTGTGTGAAGCTAATTCTAAAATGATACTTTTTGTTTTTTTTTAAATAAGTACTGAATTGCTTTTTTAAAATAGTCTTTTTAATGTGCATTACATATTTTTTCATGACATGCAAAGAGAGTGCTATTTTTTACTTATGATTCTAATAGAAGATTCAATGTGCTTCAGTATTTTGAAAACTATTATTAAAAAGTGAATAATGTTTTATTTATCATTTACAACATTAAACAATATGCTTTTATGGTATAATCTTGATAACCATAGCAGTATCAATTAAACACAACATGTAAGTGCAATTCAGATCATGATGATCAAATAACTTTGCTTTTATATCACTGACATTCCTCTGGTTGCTTATATATATATATATATATATAACAAAAGAAGCATCCATGTTTTTATTAAAATGATTATGACCAAGTGTTCAAGGTATAATAATGCTTATAATCATCACCACATCACCGATTAAGTTTAAAAATGAAATGCAACATGGAAAAAGAATATAATGAAAAGAAAAGAAAAACAAAGCAAAGAAAGCAAGCAAGCAAGCAACTGAATTTTGATAAAGTATAAGTCTCGAGATAAACTACTTTTGAATAAACACAAGGAACGCGACAGTATCTCTGTTATATTATATACAGGAAATTATAATTGTCCTCTGTTTATGTATCAAATGCTCAGAACAACAGATTTTTATCCAATTATAACGATGATGATGATACTTTAAGCAGGATTTAGGATTAAAAATAGAATACTTCCAAATATTTTCGATAACATCTTTAAAATGAAAGATAAGCAAAGTTCCCAGAAATATTTGACGCAATATAAGGAACATAATATTATAATAGGTCTATTGAAGTTATTTGAATCTTCTCTCTGCCACCCTTTTTTTTGTTGTAGACAAAAACAAAAAAGAAAAATTCTGTTCTTCATTAAATAGGACATAGGCTAATTTTGATACAATCAATTAATATAGAACTGACTTTTCGCAGAAAAGTTCTTTTTATAATCGATAAAGAATATTACAAAAAAAAAAAAAAAAAACATATTATTTGCAATATTCATAAACTAGTTGATATATTAGATCGCACTTGGTCAATTAATGTTTAAACAACAAATTCCATAACTTTGAAAATACGTTTTTTTTTTCTTATTTATTATTATTTTAACTACATTATTGAAATTTGCGCTGTTTTATTTTCTTTTTTTTTTTTTTGGTAATCTTTAAGAAAGTAATATTTCGTTGATTAATTTTCATAGTACTGTATAATCAATCAATTTCTATTTTTTATTTAAACATATACACTGCAGATGTATCAAGATTCATTCAGCTAAGAATTTGATATTTTTTAATGTTAATTTTGCTATGATATTATTATTATTATTATTATTATAATAGGAAGGGATAAAAACAAAAAACAAAGAAAAGAAAAATGTTTCTTTTTACTTGAGCTTATATTGTATAAAAAAAAAAAAAAAAAAAAAA